CGTGGATATATATTGTCTGGCAAAGTTGTCTGGATTGCTTGTAATATGGAGCTAGTAGAGAAAGTTAATTCCGATAAGGTGTAAAAAAAATTTGAGAGTAGACTAGAGACCATTATTTACAATCAACCATTAAACGTAAGAGAGCCTAACATCAGAAAAGGAGGTAGGGTGGTGTATATGACCAGCATTCATGACGGTGTGTGTGTGTGTGTGGCTCCTTACGATATAGGCAGGATGTAACCACATCAGTGATATTGATGTTACTTTTCCTTGTTAACCTTGTCTAAAACTCATGTCTGTAACCTTGCACTGGTTTTTTACTTCCTACCAAGAAATCCTATTACCAACTGGTCTGGACAACTATAACTAAAAAAGAGCTCAGTCATAACTTCTTCAGCCGCCTAGAGTTAAAAATAAAAAGAATAAATAAATAAACCATTATATCACTGAGGCCCTCTTTATTATATTTTGTAAATCCACATTAATACTAACAACTTGGTTTCTTCTGAATTTCCTTATTCATACGACTAACTTCCCATTAGTTCTCTCACTACTGAATTGTCTTCATTAAGCTACATAAGTGCAGGTGTAGAGTTTGGTCTTCTGATATTAAAAAAGTCTGAGTAATTATACCTTTGTTTACTCCATAAACGTATAGTGCTAAGCCGTTGTTCGGCTTTGAACAAGAATATTTTCTGTTCCGCTTCCTCGTCCCGTTTTCTTATATTCCCCTTTTCCTCAGAACCTTATTCCAATCCTCATATATTAGTCTGGATATTTGCAGTAGACTTGGTTAACCCTATCCAGGAACATGTGAAATCATTAGCTGATGACATATCAACCAGACCTTTGTACATTTACCCCATCAATTGTTGTTATATGAAAACTGTCTCTACCATGAATCGTTTCTCAGTCCATGTGATGAAAGTTCGTAATGCAAACCTCTGTAACTTGCGGCCAATTATTCGCATTGTACATTCCATCTTTAGGAATCCAATGAATCTCGTGAAATGTATTCAGTAACTGTATACCAATTAAAAAAGAAATATGTCGCTATCTTAAAATTTTTGATCTTGCCTGTAAATTGGTATGTCTCTTGTAACATGTTTTGTTATTGAGAATAAATTATATATTATTAATATATGATTATTATTATTATTATTATTAAGTTATGGGACTGATCGTTGAACGGTTTTCCTTTTAGTTGGTTGACCGAAAATCCAACTGTAACACCTGTTTTGTTTGATTAAGTCGGAGGGGACATTAAAATGTCACTTATTTGTCGTATGGTAATGTCTTCAAACAGTCAACTAGTTAGAAACAAATCATTTACTGTGAGCTGCGACTTGATTGGTCGATTGGTGGATATTGAAAATTGCGCCAATCAGTTGACTCATCTGACTATATAAAAAGAGGAGACTGTAAGCATATTAATAGGTGTCAAACTACATATTGCAAGTCACATCAAATGCTTAAGCATCACTCATTATCACTTGCATACATTTCACTCTATCTTCTGAATGGTTATCACCACAAATAACAGTAACAAATGATTTTACAGTGTTATCGTCAATGCGATCCATGTCCAACCTGTAATACACACATGCAATGTAACTATTCACAGTGGATAGATAGATTGGAGAGTGCCTGAGCCGTTTTCAACGAAACTTTTGTTGAATTCGATGAGAAACTGAATCAAATTGTTTCAATGAATGCATATCTCGGCCTACGTGTAGTTTAATTTCAACATACGAAATTGTAAGTTCCAGATGCGTTTTTTACAATTTGTCCTAAACATGCTACCTATTGGACATAATTATCACATCAAACACATCATTATTTACATTGGTCTTTGACTGTGTCTAAGAATACACCTGAATTCACGACCAACAATTAATTTGACGTGAATGATGCTTGAAATTACCGTTCTCAAGTCACCTGTGTAGTTCATTTTGGTTCTCAGACACGCATTGTTCCTCTGGAAGCTTGGAATGTGTGTGTTCGGTTAGATTAGTTGGTAGCTATTTAATGGTAATGAGACACTCTAGTTCTTATTCCAAATCTTGTAATATTCACCAAATATTTGTGTTCATAATTACTTAGCTTGATGCAATCCCATGTTGAATAAACTCTTTAGTAAATATCTACTTCTCAAATATTAGATATGAGAGAATATTTTACTAGATTTGTGTATCCGGTTAATTAGTTTGTACAATTTACGTGACACCCATCTTGTACAAGTGCAACTCTTTCAAACAATGTTTCTCTTACATTCTTTTCAATCTCTCATCATTATCAAACAATTGTACATGTTTTTGTACATTCATTGTAATTTACAAGTATTTCACGTTTTATTCCACTGACTATTGTACATTTCACTCAGTCAGATATTCTGTAATCCAATGTAAATAAACCATTGTTTGTTGCTTACTAAGTGTTGTTCTCTTTGAATTATTCGTCGGAGACCGTATGTGATCTTTCATCAGTCATATTGATGACGATAAATTTTGTAGGTGATAGTATAATCGTCTGCAGTAACCTGTTTGGCAATATTGAAAGATGTGAAAAGTATTGATCGAACATGAATAAATAATGATTGACCGTGTAAGGCGTACAGCATAAAGTGTAACCTACTTCGTCAATCATATCAAATGACCGTGTTCAGGAAGAGGAATTTTCGAACTAATGTTTCCATATTGCAGACGTGTTATTTGAGAGCGTACTCGTCTACTTCCAATTCCGCATGATCACGTTCACTTCATTCGGATATTGTTTGGTAGATAGCATGTGAAATACATAACTAAATGACGAAATGTTGAAAAGTGAAATTCGCGTGTTGACTTACTTATCACACTTCATAAAGAACGAGTAATGTTTTTCCATCAATACTCAGTAAACTTGATTCAACACGCTGTGATCGCACATTCGATACGATAACATGCGACGCGTTTACCGAGGCTTTTGTAGTATGATTTCTAAGCTAGCAACTGACTAAAATGTAGGTAAACAACGAAAAATATAGCTATCAATGATATTCACAACCGTGATTCTTGCTGCTGAAACGTTGGCTTTAGTGCACAGACATGGAACTTCTTACTTCAGCTCCTATTCTGTTTTCCGTACTCTGTCCACCCTGATACACGTCACATCTTATTGATCGGTATTGAATTCATAAGGTTGTTATAGTAGGCATCTCTCTAATTGACCGTTAGATGGCACTAAACGAAGAATATCATCTTGCGATTAAACGTGTTGCCTAAATTATCACCTGCAATTCGTACACAAAATGCAGCTGATAACCAACAACTGTAAAGTATCAGTGTTACAGTTACATCAATAATCGAAACAGTGTGTACAAGTTAATCAGACCTGACTCTTTCTTTGTTCAATGCAGTGAAATAAACCATGAGTCTATCCGAAAAGTAAGCCTCAGTATAATCAGTGCACAAAATCACCCAATTTCCTGAATGATGCTCTACCGATGAGGAATTCTTTGTGTAGGATGTGTGTAGAATGAATATGCGCGTAGGTAAAATCAATGTTCAGTCACACCAGCTCATACAAACCAGACAATAATAAAAGCCAATGGTACATATAAGTAATTGTTATACAAATGACTTGGTTATATTAAGTAATCGAGAGGCTTGACCAAATTAAATGTAAGCGAATTCAAATATATGTGGAGGTACTACACATTCACAATCACAACAAACTCGTTTTATGAATACGTAGAGCTCACGGAACAGTATTCACCCTCAGAACGGCTTTAAACTTTCAATAGGTAGGGCCTTCGTGTGGAAGGAGGGGCTGGTCGGCCAACGGTCGATTGTAGTGCAGAAAGGTTGACGGACAGGAAACGACCAATGAAGCTCGATTTGTCATTGGAATTTATTCACGTTGAACTGTGCAAGTAGTAACGTGCCAGGTGTGTTGCTCGGGTTGGCGTTCAACGCATGCGTTTCTTGCATCCAGAGTCTGAACATTGCGTTCGTAGTGGTTCGTACCAGAACGATCAAGTTTCAAAGCACACGTATGCCATATACATTCGGAAGCAGAACATCGACTGAGTGCTTTGACAAGAGCTTGTTTGTTCAGGCCAGCTTTCACTAAGATTGACTAAAGTCCACGGTACCAACACAGCGATGGTCGTCGACATAAGCGAACGATTCAAATGAAAGAATAAGAGAAATGTGTGGCATATATGTAGTATGAGGATAGTGTCGTGTCGCGTATCGGTTGTTTCCGGGATGCTGACGATCTCGACGCAGCCATGACGAACAACCTTGAATGTCCGTGCGTGAATAATCATCATTTGATGAATTCATTCGAAAAGCTGTTGCAAAGGTTTACGTACCGAGTCGTTTCGTATGAGAACATGAGAACAGGTAGATGG